CAGGTTATACATGTGTAGTCATGCAAAACAGTTCCATAGTAGTCATGTTGTAAAAAATTAAGTGTATTTCCCTTAATCCTATCCTGCTTCCCATTTATTCTATTCTTTGTTTTGACCCTGTCCCTCCTTAGAAGTGTTTGCTTCTGATCACTTCTTAGAAGTCATTGCTTCTGATTCTGAGGGTTTTGTGCAGCTGTTTTCAGAGATACTTCTAGGGACCTGTAAATTTTCAGCTCTTCCAAAGTGGTACGATCAAGGACAAGGTGTTTACTCCTTTCCTATCCTGTGCTCTCCTCTATGAGTGACCACAAGCACCATTCTCTACCTTGGATCTGTGAGGAGGATTTTCTCTCCACCGCCATTCTCACCCCAGGACCGCCACTCAGAACTGTGACCCAGATCCAAGCACAGGCAAAGCAAGAGAATCCTGCTTCAGCACCAGCAAAGAGATCCCTGCAATCCCCCTCTGATCATCCACTCAATTCCACCTGGCTGTGGGCCAGAAGCTCCAGAAGCAGATGCCACCCTGGGGCTGTGCTGAGACAGGGGCTGGGACCTAGCTTTTCTCTCACTGTGGTAACAGACTTTTTTTTACTGACCTTCTAAGTTGTGTTTGGTGTTTGTGGGGTTGAGAAGTCTGGAAACCACCACAGCTGTCTGTGATTCAGTCCTGTGAGGCCTGCTCCAGCTTCGCTAAGGCCTGTTTTGCCTGTGTACCCATGCTGACCTGTGTTCCTCTCCCAGCCCGGTGCGATAGACCTTTCCAATCAACCATTCGGGTTGTCTTAGGTTGAAAATTTATTTCACTCTGTCTTTTTGTGGGTTCTGCTGCTTTAGAATTTGTTTAGAAACATTTTTACAGGTATTTGGAGGGGCTTGGGGGAGAGCTCAAGCAAGTCACTGCTTTTACTCCACCATCTTGGCTCTGCCCTATCCCACCCTACCCCCAGTCTTTCTAGTTTTAAAAACATTGAAAATGGGTCCATAGTCTTCACCAGACTACCAAAGGGGACCATGACATACCTCCTACTCTACAGGAAATTTCTCATCAGTCATACAAATCTATCTGCTCTCAGGCCTAACTAATTGGTGAAGAGGCTTATCTCTTACTGCCCTGTCATCTACTATCCCTGGATACTTTTGCTCCAATGAATGACATCAACAGAGTCATAGGAGGTTTTCTAATACTTTTTAGCAATACCAAGAGTTCCCTGCAGCTATTTTCTGTCCCTATATCTCAACCCTCTTTCATCTCTCTCCATCCTCTTAAGAGAGTCATGGAAACACTCCCCAGGAAGTTTCCCAATCTCCTCATACTCCTACCCCCACCTTCTAGCTTCAATTCTATAGCTATCTCCATACTATCAAGCTGGTCTAGATATAACAATTCCCAAGAATCCTAATTACAAAATTCCATTGTAATAGAAAAGGCATTCCTTCACTTTTGGCTAAGTCCCAAATTCTATCTGTTTGGTGGAGTCAACAGAAAGATAAGGTGGAGCAGTCTTTTAGTCTGGGAAACATGGAGGATCGGCAATAAAGGTCCACCTCACTTTGACTTTGATGTGATAATTAAAAAAAATAATTAAGGGGTGAAAAAAGGATTGTACTGGGAGAAGATGAAAGGAGGAGATAGAAAAGGGTAAATTACATCACATGAAGAGGCACACAGACCTATTACAGTAGAGGGAAAGAAGGGAGGGAGGCAAGCATTGTTTGAACCTTACTCTCATCAGATTTGACTCAATGAGCAAATAACATACACAAGAGTTGGTTATACAAATCTATCTTACCTTATAAGGAAGTAATAGGGGAAAAGGGGAAGAAAAGGGAGAGGACCGAGAGAAGGGAGGGCAGATTGAACAAGTTGGTGGTCAGAAGCAAAACACTGCTGAGGAGGGAAAGGATGAAAGGAGAGAGAAAAGTATAAATGGGGGAAATAGGATGGAGAAAAAGATACATTTAGTAATCATAACTGAATGTGAATGGGATGAATTCTCCCATAAAACAGAAGCAGATAGCAGAGTGGATTAACAACTAGAGTCCTAAAAAATGTTATTTACAAGAAACACATATGAAGCAGAGTAAAGGTAAAAGGCTGAAGCAGAATATATTATATGCTTCAGTTGAAATTTTCAAAAAAAAGCAGGAATGGTAATCTGATCTCAGACAAAACAAAAAAGGAAGGAAACAACATCTTGCTAATAGGTATGATAGACAATAAAGTAATATCAATACTAAACCTATATGCACCAAGTGGTATAGAGTACAAATTCTTAGAGAAGTAAAGTGAGTTACAGGAAGAAATGGACAGTAAAACTATACTAGTTGGGGCTCTCAACCTCCCCCTTTCAGAACTAGATAAATCTAACAAAAAAATAAACAAGAAAGAAGTTATGGAGGTGAACAGAATTTTGGAAACTTTAAATATCGTAGACCTCTAGAGAAAATTGAATAGATAGAAAGGAATATACCTTTCTCTTAGCAGCATATGGCACTTACACAAAAACTGACCATGTGCTATGGTATAAAACCTCACAATCCAGTGTAGAAAGGCAGAAATATTAATTGCATCCTTTTCAGATCATGATGCAACAAAAATTACATGTGATAAGGGGCCACAGAAAGAAACACTAAAATTAATTGGAAACTAAATAATCTAATCCTAAAGAATGAGTGGGTCAAAAGACAAACAAGAGAAACAATCAATAATTTCATCAAAGAGAATGACAATAATAAGACAACATATCAAAATTTATGGGATGCAGCCAAAGCAGTTCTTAGGGGAAATTTTATATCTCTAAATGTTTACATGAATAAAATTGAGAAAGAGGTGATCAATGAATTGGGCATGCAACCAAAAAAGCTAGAAAAAGAACAAATTAAAAATCTTCAATTAAATACCAAATTAGAAATCCTGAAAACCAAAGGAGAAGTTAATAAAAATGAAATTAAGAAAACTATTGAACTAATAAATAAAACTAAAAGCTGGTTTTATGGGGGGAAAAAACTGATAAACCTTTGGTTAATTTGATTTAAAAAAAAAAAAATAAAAAAACTAAATTGCCAGTATCAAAAATGGAAAGGGTGAATTCACCACCAATGAAGAGGAAATTAAAACTATAATTAGGAGCTATTTTGTTCAACTGCATGCCAATAAATCTAACAATCTTAGTATAATGGATGAATATTTACAAAAATATAAATTGCCCAGATTAACAGAAGAGGAAATAAAATACTTAAATAACCACATTTCAGAAAAAGAAATCAAAGAAGCCATCAATGAACTCCCTAAGAAAAAATCTCCAGGACCAGATGGATTTACAAGTTAATTCTATCAAACATTTAAAGAACAATTAATTATAATACTATATAAACTATTTGGGAAAATGGGCAAAAAAGGAGTCCTACCAAGTTCCTTTTATGACACAAATATGGTGCTGATACCTAAATCATGAAAATCCAAAACAGAGAAAGAAAATTATAGACCAATTTCCCTAAAGAATACAGATGCAAAAATTTTAAATAAAATATTAACAAAGAGATTACAGCAACTTTTCATGAGGATAATAAATTATGACCAGGTAGAATTTATACCAGGAATGCAGGGTTGGTTTAATATTAGAAAAACTATCAGCGTATTTGACTATATCAATAACAAAACTAAGAGAAATCATATGATCATCTCAATAAAAACAGAAAAAGCTTTTGACCAAATACAACACTCACACCTGTTAAAAAAAAGAAATAGAGGGCATAGGAATAAAAGGAGTCTTCCTTAAAATGGTAAGTAGCATCTATCTAAAACTTTCAGCGAGCATATCCAATACTGTACTAGAAATGTTAGCTTTAGCAGTAAGAAGAGAAAAAGAAATTAAAGGAATTAGAATAGGCAAAGAAGAAACAAAGCTATCACTCTTTGCAGATGATATGATAATATACTTAGAGAATCCTAGAGAATCAAGTAAAAAAATTACTTGAAATAATAAACTACTTTAGCAAAGTTGCAGGGTATAAAATAAACCCACATAAATCACCAGCATTTCTACATATTACTAACAAAGCCCAACAGCAAGAGACAGAAAGAGAAATTCCATTGAAAGTTACTGTAGACATCATAAAATACTTAGGAGTCTACCTGCCAAGACAAACCTAAGAACAATATGAACACAATTACAAAGCACTTTTCACACAAATAAAGTCAAATATAAATCATTAGAAAAATATCATTTGTTCATGAGTGGGCTGAGCTAATATAATAAAAATGATAATTCTACCTAAGTTAATTTACTTTCTCAGTGCCATGCCAATCAAACTACTAAAAACTTACTTTATAGAGCTAGAAAAAAAATATAACAAAATTCATGTGAAAGGTCAAAAGGTCCAGAATATCAATAGAATTAACGAAAAGAAATGCAAGGGAAGGTGGCCTAGCCATACCAGATCTAAAACTTTATTATAAAGCAGCAATCATCAAAACTACTTGGCACTGGCTAAGAAATAAAGTAGTGGATCAATGGGATAGGTTAGGTACACAAGACATGATAGTCAATGACTATAGTAATATACTGTTTGAAGAAGCTCCAGCTTCTGGGAAAAGAATTCACTATTTGACAAAACCTGCTGGGAAAACTGGGAAATAGTATGGCAGAAACTAGGCATAGACCAACATTTTATACATATACCAAGATAAGGTCCAAATGGGTACATAATTTAGACATAAAGGGTGACATCATAAGCAAATTAGGAGAGCAAGGAATAATTTACCTGTCAGATCTATGGAAGAATTTATGACCAAACAAGAGATAGAAAATATCATGAAATACAAAATAGATAATTTTGATTACATTAAATTAAAAAGGTTTTGCACAATTAAGACAATGCAACCAAGATTATAAGGGAAACAGAAAGCTGGGGAAAAAATTTACAGCCAGTGTCTCTGATAAAGGCCTCATTTCTAAAATATATAGAGAATTGAGTCAAATTTATAAGAATACAAGTAATTTCCCAATTGATAAATGGTCAAAGGATATGAACAGGCAGTTTTCAGATGAAGAAATTAAAGCCATCTATAGTCATATGAAAAAAATGCTCTAAATCACTATTGATTAGAGAAATACAAATTAAAACAACTCTGAGGTTCCACCTCATACCCATCAGATTGGCTAATCTGACAAAAAAACAGAAAATGATAAATGTTGGAGATGTGGGAAAATTGGAACTTTAATGCATTGTCATTGGTGGTCGTGTTGTGAACTGATCCAAGCATTCTGAAGAGTAATTTGGAACTATGGCCAAAGGGCAATTAAACTGTGCATACCCATTGATCCAGCAATACCACTACTAGGTCTGTATCCCAAAGAGATCATAAAAAAGGGAAAAGGAGCCATATGTACAAAAAAATTTATAGCAACTCTTTTTGTGGTGGCCAAGAATTGGAAATTGAGAAGATGCCTATCAATTTGGGAATGGCTGTACAAGTTGTGGTATATGAATATAATGGAATACTTTTGTTCTATAAGATACGATGAACAGGCAGATTTCAGAAAAACCTGGAAAGACTTACATGAACTGATGCTCAGTGAAGTGAGCAGATCCAGAAGAACATTGTACATGGTAACAGCAACATTGTGCGATGACTAACTTTGATAGATTTAGCTCTTCTCAGCAATACAATGATCCAAGATAATTCCAAAAGATTCATGATAGAAAATGCTACCT